AAAAACTATCGTAATCTGCTAATATTGTATTGAATATGGCAATTTATCATATTCATTAATTAAACACATAAACACCCTGACACTTTAACTATAAAATATACATGCTCCAAGTCAGGAACCGTTACATTAGTGCATTTCACAATTATTTTATGGTTTTTTAGTAAAAAAAAAGTCCATTTTTTTTTTCGACTCGCTCCGCTCGGAGAAAGATTTGATTCTATACCCCCTCTTTCAAATATCTTAGAAACGCCCCTGACACGTGACCTAGAATTGTACTATAGAGAATGTCCATAAAGTCACACGTGACCTATATAGCGAAAGTCCATGTGAAGTCACACGTAACCTATATAGCGAATGTCCGTAAAGTCACTAGTGACCTATTATAGCCAATTTCCGTTAAGTCACCCGTGACCTACATGTATGTAACGGAAGTCCGTGAAGTCACACGTGAACTACTATAGAGAATGTTACTGAAGTCACACGTGGTCGACTATAGAAAATGTCCGTCAAGTCACATACATGTATAACATACAATGTACCTCGTCTAATACGAAATTTCTGTGGAGTGTTATGTGATCCATAAAAGGGAATGTTCATAGAGTCACTTGTGATATTCCATGTGCTATAAGGAACGCCGTGCGTGCAGTCACACGTGACATACCATGTACCATAAGGAATGTTCGTGGAGGCACACATGACATGCCATGTACCATAAGGAATATCCATGGAGCCACACGTGACCTACCATGTACCATAAGGAATGTTCGTGGAGGCACACATGACATGCCATGTACCATAAGGAATATCCATGGAGCCACACGTGACCTACCATGTACCATAAGGAATGTCCGTTGCGTCACACATGACATACCATGTACCATAAGGAATGTCCGTGGAGTCACACGTGACATACATGTATGTAACGGAAGTCCGTGAAGTCACACGTGACCTACTATAGAAAATGTCCGTGAAGTCACATACATGTATAACATACAATGTACCACGTCTAATACGAAATTTCTGTGGAGGTTTATGTGATCCATAAAAGGGAATGTTCATAGAGTCACTTGTGATATACCATGTGCTATAAGGAACGCCGTGCGTGCAGTCACACGTGACATACCATGTACCATAATGAATGTCCGTGGCGTCACTTATTACATTTCATGTACCCTCATGAATGTCCTTGGAGTGACATGTGACATACCATGTACCACAAGGAATGTCCGTGGAGTCACACGTGACATACAATGTACTATAAGGAATATCCATGGAGCCACACGTGACATACCATGTACCGTAAGGAATGTCCTTGGAGTCACACTTGACATACCATGTACCATAAGGAATTCCGTGGAGTCACACGTGACATGCCATGTACCATAAGGAATACCCATGGAGTCACACGTAACATACCATGTACCATAAGGAATGTCCGTGGAGTCACACGTGACATACCATGGACCATAAGCAATGTCCGTGGAGTAACACGTGACATACCATGGACCATAAGGAATGTCCGTGGAGTCACACGTGACATACCATGTACCATAAGTTATGTCCGTGGAGTCACACGTGACATACAATGTACCATAATGAATGTCCGTTGCGTCACACATGACATACAATGTACCAAATGGAATATCCATTGAGCCACACGTGACATACCATGTACCATAAGTAATGTCCGTGGAGTCACACGTGACATACCATGGACCATAAGGAATGTCCGTTGCGTCACACATGACATACCATGTACCAAATGGAATATCGATGGAGCAACACGTGACATACCATGTACCACAAGGAATGTCCGTGGAGTCACACGTGACATATAATGTACTATAAGGAATATACATGGAGCCACACGTGACCTACCATGTACCATAAGGAATGTCCGTGGAGTCACACGTGACATGCCATGTACCATAAGGAATACCCATGGAGCCACACGTGACATAGCATGTACCATAAGGAACGTCCGTGGAGTCACACGTGACATACCATGTACCATAACTAATGTCCGTGGAGTCACACGTGACATTCCATGTACCATAAGGAATGGCCGTGGAGTCACAGTGACATACCATGTACGATAAGGAATGTTCGTGGAGTCACATATGACATACCATGTACCATAAGGAATACACATGGAGCCACACGTGACATAGCATGTACCATAAGGAACGTCCGTGGAGTCACACGTGACATACCATGTACCATAACTAATGTCCGTGGAGTCACACGTGACATTCCATGTACCATAAGGAATGGCCGTGGAGTCACAGTGACATACCATGTACGATAAGGAATGTTCGTGGAGTCACATATGACATACCATGTACCATAAGGAAGATCCATGGAGCCACACGGGACATACCATGTACCATAAGGAATGGCCGTGGAGTCACAGTGACATACCATGTACGATAAGGAATGTTCGTGGAGTCACACATGACATACCATGTACCATAAGGAATACACATGGAGCCACACGTGACATAGCATGTACCATAAGGAATGTCCGTGGAGACACACGTGACATGCCATGTACCATAAGTAATGTCCGTGGAGTCACACGTGACATACCATGTACCATAAGGAATGTCCGTGGAGTGACATGTGACATACCATTTGAACTGCCCACAGAGTCACGCGTGATCTACATGTACCATAGGGAATTTCCTTGGTCTACTTTAGAAAGTGCAGCATGTGACTTGAGCACTTTTTTCCGTACAAAAATATTGGCCAAATGTATTGAATTCAAAGAACAATAAATTTAGGGTTACATAAATGCAGTGTGCAGTAATGAATACAG